CACATGTATTAATTTAATAGTCAAGAATAGCCAACATAATATTGAAAATTTAATTTAAATACTTATTGGAGGTGTGTGTAGTTTTGATTCATTCCTCGTTAAATGGATTAACAGAAAACGCGCTTGAATGAAAAAAAACTCTTAAACTTGAATGTTCCATATAAATTCTTGTAATGGTTTTTAGATAAAACTTACAAAAAATCAGCAAATAAAAATAATTTGATTACTCGAATTTTGCTGCTACATTGGAGTTGTCACACTTAGTAATCAAGCAAGGCCTTTAAGTGATTTTTGAAATCAACAGAGGGGAGAAGATGTTAGAGGACAGTGTGGTATTCGAAATCGGTTGGAGAAGTGATTTTAAAAAATAATGTAAGCTTGGCTTCTGTTATAATGACGCAAAAAGTTCGAGGAAAAAGCATTTAAAATCGGCAGAGGGGGAATATCCTAAAGGCCAACGCAATCTTAACTTTTGTTATCAAACTAGCAAAAAGATGAAAAAAGCTTTGCATAATATTTGAAATCGGAAAGGTGAGATGGTCATATTATCGAAACGATATCGAACGCAAAAAGATGCTATTTAAACTGGAGTTGAGTTTGCTCAATTAAGATTGGCTGAATACTATCAATACAGATTTGGAGTTTCAAAAGATATTGTAAAAAAAGTTCATAAAGACAGTTATAATCTTCGCAAAGGTACTTGTTAAAAAAATATATTTATTTCATAGTTATATTAGTTTAATATAAATATTTTATTTTAACTAGTAAAAAAATACGAGAAATTATCGTAAAGCGCTGTATCAAGTACCTCCACCAATGTAAAAAATTAAACCTTAATTTAGCACAATTTTTTCTGTAAAACAATTATTTTCAGCAAAAAGAATAAATCAGGCTTCATGACGCAATTTCGTCCAAATTAAGATTAATATTAGCCCTGACTCTAATCCCTAAACCTTAATACGTATTTATCATGCATTTTGCATTATTAAATCCCGTAGGTTAGGGTAAGGGTGAGACAGGACTAAGTTTATATGTAAAATCATCTTCCAGATATTTTTAATTAATGCTCCAAGCTAGATTTTTCCTGTCGGACTTGAATGCCGGGTTGGTGGCTCGTGCTACCCGGAATATCCATTTTGTACTAACTTTCCTTAACACGTATTTGTCACGTGCTTTTATTACTAGTAGAAAAAATATAACGTTAACGTCAAGAAATTATTACAATAGCGATAGGTCATTTTGGAATTCCGGTTCTCGATAAAGCGGTAATTCACTTTCAGGAAAAATCTTTCCTACTTCGGCTAAAAATTGGTAATCTCTCATGGAATTCTGAAACGAATGCATACAATAACGTAACATTTACCGATTACAAAATGAACATATCGATGTCGATATGTCAATTGTTAAATTCCGAAAAACGTATCTATATTTGGAATTTGATATAATGATCATGCGTGTGTAACAACTTCAGGGAGTACATTGTTAAATATAAAAGACTGCTTTTTTATGTTTCCTGCAAAGAATACTTTGAAAATGTGTGAAATTATTGCAATACAATATTTCAACAAAAAAAACGACCCAGTTATTAAAGAAATACTTAATTCTTTTGATAAATTGATGCATTCTTCGCAGGATTTAAATGAAATTGCAAATAAAATGCGAAGAATTATTGAAGAATTAGCAGAAAGCACGCTTAAATATAAAAAATTCTTGCAAATATTAACGTCGAATATTACATATAATGTAATGTATGGGTTTTTACATCATTTTGGGATTAAAATTGAACAGAATTTTGAAATTGCTTTTGAATTTTATAAAAAATCAGCTAAGAATAATAACGCAATTGCTCAATATTTACTCGGATTTTGCTATTACACTGGAGTTGGCACACCTAATAATAAAAGCAAAGCCTTTAAGTGGTTTTTGAAATCAGCAAAGGGATGAGACAGTCTCTGTTATCAAAATGGTATTGGGACGCAAAAAGATGAGAAACAAGTTTTTGAGTGGTATTTGAAATCCGCAGAGGCGGGAGATGCTAAAGGACAAAACAATCTTGGTTGGTGTTATCAAAGTGGTATCGGGACGCAAAAAAATGAGAAAAAAGCTTTTGAGTGATATTTGAACCCAGCAGAGGCGGGAGATGCTAAAGGACAAAACAATCTTGGTTGGTGTTATCAATACGGATTTGGAGTTTCAAAAGATCTTTTTATGGCGTTGAAATTGAACGAAAAAGCTTACAAAAATGGTTATAATCTAGCAAGGGTGCACTTTAGTAAAATATATTTATTTTTTTTAATTCTTTATATTAGCTTATTGCGGTCTAGTCACCAGGGTGCTTACATAGGTGTTTATTTAATGGTCACAATATTGAGCGGCCCTGGATAATACGGATGGTGACTATAGAGTGATACAAATGTTTTATATGTTAACTTTAGCACATTTATCCTTTGTTTTTTATATTAGATATAATTAAATTTATCAGCAATATCGATATTTAGTATATATCAAATGCGTATATAGTTTTACCTTGATATTGATTGTATAGGCATCATAAAGCTAATAATTTACGTATATACTCTTTTTTTCCATTTTCAAATTAAAAGTTGCAAAGCATAAATTTGGCCGAAATTACGTAAATCAGTCAATGCAAAAGACAAAGTCTAGAATATTGAATACAAATTGGCTTTTATTCGTGTGGTGATTTTACTAACTTCAAGAAATTATAAGAGTTTTATGCGTGGAATATGATTACTTATATTAATTATTTGAATAAGGCTGAAAATATTGACCAGAATTTAGCTCATTGCTATAAAGAGAGAAATGGTATGCGAATACTGATGAAGTCCCTCTTTTGCTATTTGAAATTGTTTATTGATGTCCCGATTTTTTTTAGTATTTTTATCCTAATATAAACTTATCATTCTATGTAAATTTTATAAGTTTTTAGAAAATGTAATCTGAAATCAGTAAATTGAAATGGCTATTAGTTTCTTGATGCAAAGATCATTGAGAATAGTATTGGCAAGATAAAACTTGATTTATCATGCCAAAGAACGTTCCTTGAATGGTCACCTCGAAATATAGAATCCCTTAACTCCTTGCTAGTTCAAAAAATGTTCAGTGAAGCAATTTTATATATAATTTTTCCTTTAATCCTAAAATCAATCTTTAACATTACAGAATTTTTCGGGATCGATAAAACCTGGCACAGATTCCGGCAGATCAAAAATTAGTACCACCTCATTGGTTGGTGACACTAAATAAGCTATTACAATAATTTCCTGAAAACACGTGATTTCGGAACGTACAATATGTGATCATTAAAGTTGTGGATATTTCCGATTGCTGATCTCAACCCAATACTTTTGGCAGATTTTTAGCCAATCATCTTAGCGATAATTAATTTTTTTCAAGTGTTCAAAATACGATATATATCAAATTCAACTATGCTAGCTGTACTAACATACTTCCAGGTGAAAGCATCCTCAGCTAGTCGGGGGCTCTAAACAGCCCACCTTCACGTTATGCAAGAGCCTGGAAGAGATGGTGTTGAGGAACTTCGTAATTTTTTTAAGAAATAAAGATTGACAATAATATATTGATGTCAGTTGGAAATATACATCTGCTATTCTCATATATAATCTTCTGTTCTAATTAATACACAATTCGCAGTATTTTGTGTTCTCAATATGGAGCACATTTGTTTTTCATATATTCTCTCTTGAGAATTTGTGTTCTTGTGAGAACGCTGAAAAACAGATTTCCATCACTGATTGATGTTATCGTTATTATTGGTATCGATGTTATCAATATATGTACAGAACTCCCTTTGACGATCACACCAAAATAAATGTTATCAAATGTTATTAAATTTGATTTATTATTTGAGATCTCATTCAATAGCATATAATCGAATTTTATTTTCAGAAATACTTTTGAAGATCCTATGGTTTGCTATGTTTTCGTTTTAAAATGGAAAGTTTGCCAAATAATAATACAAGCAGAGCATTAAGTATAGAATGTGTCACAGTTAAATAACTTGAAGTAATTTATCCTATGTAGAGATTGTAACCAAAATATTTAGCATGAGTGGTATTCTTAGGGCATGAACTCGAAGAGGTAAGCTTTTACTTATGTGTTATTAAAAGTTCTGAATATATAAAAATTCAAATTTTAGTACACAATCTAAATGGCAATAAAGATGGTAATTTGAAAATTAATTATGGTATATATTTCGGAACAATACCCATGTGGCGTATAAATCTGGAATTGAGATATTGAGTGATTGTATAAAATAGCTTTATTGATAAATATGAAGCATACACGAATCTCATTAAATAAATATTTCTTTAATCAAATATATACCAAATTTTGCAATTTTTGTCTGGCATTGACTGATTTATATAAATTTACCATTTATCTATCTTCACAACTTAAAAAAAAGGATATAGCGATGGATATACGTACTGTACATGTATTTATTAACATTTATACATGTAATATAAAAAAACCAATCGTATTATCGTTATAGATTATAATAACGATAATTCAAACAAAAAATTATGTTACTCGAAACCATAATAATGTCATGTCTATAAATATATATTATAGAATAAAGCTAATAAAGCCATACCGGATATTTAAAGTAAATCAAAAGCATTAACTAAATTCTATAAATACTTGAATAATTTGAAATGTAACATAAACAAAGTAACAGCATATATACAGTGTCGACAACTATATAAAAGTGACGATGTTTTTATTTTTTGATCAAATGCAAGAAAACTATTTTAAATTATCTAATTCTGTCGTTAATACAATTTACAACTATTTAAACTATAATAAGTTGTTAATTTTAAGTAAATGCCCTTACCAACTAACTTTCTATTGAAGAACCAGCTGTAAAAAAACGTGATAATTCTGATAGACCACTAAGACCACAAAACAGCTGGATAATTTTCGAAGAGATTATGAAGCGCATTTACGTTTATGTAATCAACATGTCAAACCAAAAGTCGAAGAAACAGCAAAAGAATGCAGTTAAAATGGCGAAAGCTATCGAGTGAGGTCAAGCATTTTTTTAAATATTAGAAAAATAGCCTGCAAGAATCACAAAAGCCTATATATTAATTATAAGTATAAAACCTAAAAATGCGAAATATTCAAACAATAAGATGAATTTTCCGCATAAAAAGAAATATACGTTTGCTTGGCTACCCATGTCTAGCTCACCCTCTTTAATAAATGAAATCACGAATGGAACGACATTCACAATTGAATACAATCGTACTGATATCAACATTTCAACAACTCATAATTTTACGATCAATACCGACCGATACTAATTCGATCAACAGCGTTCAATCAACTAATTTCGTTGGATCGATTAGATTTTTTTTCTGTAACTACACACCCCTACAATAAATTACCGGAAATCAAAAAATTACAAGTATATTTATAATAATACAAAATTATTAGCAATATAAAAATTATATATGTTATATATTACACTTTTTAGAATTTCAAATATTAAAAATTGATTAAATTTTGAAATACAGTGCTCGTCAGAAGTAACGTACTCCCCTTAATTTTCCATAGATCATGTGTAATTTTCTGAGCACAAAGAACATTACAAATGCTGATCATTGATATCTTTTATAGATTGATAAAGCTCTATATTGGGTGTTGTATGTTCACGTCCTAATTACTTACATATATAATCAGTTATTTCATAACACACATCTCAATATTTAATAATCTAATTCTTGATGTCCAGTGACCCGATTTGAAAAAAAATACTACCATTTGATTCGTCTAGTCGAGGTGAATCGAACAGTATTATTTTTGTTCAAATCGGATCACTGAACATCAAAATATTATGTCTTAAAGTAGCATATTCATTTTTTTTTGATACTAACAAAAATTAATCGAATGGTATTATTTTTGTTCGAATCGGATCACTGAAGGTCAGGATACTACGTTCTAAATTGATTCATTTTTTTTGTGATCAATTTCTAATGAAAAATTGATCGACAAATATGAATCGGTCACTAGGACATAATACATGTATCTTGACGTCTATTGGTCCAATTTGAGTGAAAATATCACCATTTGATTTGCCTACCACTAGACATCGAGATATTATTATGTCATAAGGTGTCTGATTTATTATATTTGGGACATGAAAGTTTATGAACATACAATATCTAATATAGAAGCTCTACCAATCTATAAAAGGTATCAACAATCAGCATTTGTAATGTTCTTTATGCTCAGAAAATTTTGGAACATTACACATGATCTATGAAAAGTTAAGGTGGATATATTACTTCTGACGAGTACTGTATAGTTAAGATAACACAATGTAATAGAAATTTTATTTGACAGCAAATAAAGACTCTTTTATTGCACGTGGTATTTAGAATATCCTTTTCTAATTCTCTCGGTCTATATATTTGTACATTTTATTAACGTAGCAAGTTACACTCTAATTATTTTAATTAAAGAAATCAACCATACAAAAACATTAAGTTTCTCTTTAATTATTTTAATTAAAGAAATCAATCATTTAATCACAAAGAACATTCAAGTGTGCAGAAACACTTGATCCTTCCCAATTGTTCTAATTTTAAATGCCATTATTATTTTATTTATCACTGCAAAACCGATTATCACGACATGTGGATCATATTTGCACTGTTCCTAAGCACTGTCCGTAGACCTCTCGAAATAAAAGGGTCGGAACACGTGCTAATTGTGGCACAAACCAATAAAAATGCGTAAATTTTTTATCAGCCCGGCAAAACAAATCCGACGCAAGAAAATGAAAAAGCAAAAAAAAGTAAAAATACGAGGAATAAATGCCTAAATTCAGCTTGGTACACTAAAAAAAGAGTCGGGAAGACAATTTTACATATAATCTTGACGCCAGCTCTAACCCTAATCCTAACCTTTAAATTAACCTTTAACAATAACCAATATTACCGTAGAATTTTTCCGGAAATACACAAATATCACATGATCCGACCATTTTTTTTGCCATGGCTAAGGTACTAAATCCTCTTAATTCGGAAGGATCGGTTTGGGCCCGCGTTATAGGTTCAATATTTTCTCTTGTGTTCAAATAAGCGCCCCATATTTACATCCCACATATTCTCTCTTTAGTCACGATTTTCTCTTAAATAATCCATCTGGTATTCTCTTACATTTTTATCCTGTCACAGTTTTCTCTCTTTTTCGTCACGGATCTCTTTCTTAAACATTCCATTTGATGTTCACTTTTTTTTTATTTTCACGGTTTTCTCTCTTTTCTTTTTATGATTTGATTAGGAAGCATCCAAAATTTAATCCGATAGATATCATTTCTATCGGATTTACTTCCTTATCGAATTAATCATTTGAGGAGTTTATTTTCATTTACTAAAATTGGTGTATTGTCGTTTGTATCGATATCGATATGAAAGTACCGATTAATGATGTCCATTACACAAATCAGTACGTAATGGGAACGACTATCAGTATTTCTTAATTTGCTCTTATACATGTACATGTATTAGAAAGTTCCGAAAGATTTCTACCATGCGTGAATACATGTACATATCCCGATCTGGACAGAATTTCGGTGAGTGTGACGCGGCATCAATTCGACTTCACGGTTTCGCGAAATCTTACCAAGTTAAAGAGTCTTCACTCATTAAGAAAAAATGTTCAGCTTAAAGAATTGTATTATTTTATAAATCAAAAATTGTGAAGAGTAAATTGAAGTAACCATATTAGTAATAATTCTTATAATTTTTTGACTGATGGTTGATGGTGATACAAGTTGTGCAGACAAAGTTCGTAACTCGTACGTAGTTACGCCATATCGAGATGTCATAACTTTTTGAGGATCACATGCACATCTAAAATAATAATACATGTACATGTATTAATGGTAATGAATTCCATTTAAAATGACATGTCAAATGGCATTCAACGTAGAAGGGGATGTATCATGTGTTGATTTTTTTAAAAGCATGATGCCCTACTCGGAGGCATTCCAGAAATGAATTTTTTGTGTAGTTATCCTAACAACTGTATTTTTCGTGCGGACTGAAATTCATCTTGATGTTATTTCTTCTATAATAATTCTATAGCGAAGCTTTTAATAACTTAAGTTATTTTTATCAAATGAAGTTTTCTAATATCCCAATTGAATATTCTAGGAATTCTTATGAACTTTGGTTTTCTAGAAACACGTAAATTTCACACGAGAATTCCTGTATAACTTTCCACGTAGATCCCACTGACTTTATGTAAGTTCCACAATCTTTCCACGTGGATATTCTATTTGTACCAGAATAAGGACGTAGAGTGGTTTTATATGCAAATATGCTTTGGCCACTACTTGGAGTCAACATATTTATTACTTAGAATTAAGTTCTTATTATAATTTCCTAGGAGCAAAATAGATTGCTATAATAAAATTTTTATAGATGCTTATACGCAAAAAACTCTTTGTAGCAATAAAAAATAACAGAAAATGACAAAACACACTCTTCAGACAAATTTAATGACAAATAAAAAAATTAATAACGTGCCACATAAATAAAATTATTAAGTGTTATGTTAACAAACAATTTAATTTTCTGTTGT